AACATAAGCTGGACCATTATCCGTCTTTATCTGTGTAGGTATACCCATGATGGCCATAACTTCTAATAAATGAGTGATTACTGAATCAGCTTTTTCTGAGCTTAAAGCAATTGCCCATTGGAAACCTGAGTACGTGTCAATAGTGTGATGTACATATTTTAATTTGCCAAATTCTGGAAAGTGAAACACATCCATCTGCCAAATTTCATTCCTTTTAATATCCTTTGGATTAGTCCCTGCAGGCAATGGTGTTTGGTTATAAAAAGAGCAAGTAGGGCATTTCTTTACAATCTCCTTAGCTTGTTGCCATGTAATAGAAAACTCTTTTTTCATGCCTTTGCTATTGACATGATGTTTTTTATGAAATTCAGATGCCTGCAGCACACTACCAATCAATAAGTGATCAATATCTGCATTACCTTGTGCTAGAGGACCTGGCAGACCCGTATGGGATCGAATGTGTGTTATATACATAGGGCAAAGCCTGTTCCTGATCATGTTTTGTACCTGGATAAACAATGAGGTCAGTTATGTATCATCAGGTATAAATTCAGCAGTTTCAATATGCAAGATAACTCTTTCTGCATATTGTGAGTCAGTAATTATATTAAGAGGTTCTTTAAAATCCCTAAGCACCATAAAAATGGCATATAATTCTGCCTTCTGGACAGAATTATAAGGACTTTGTTCCACTTTACTCAATTCTCCTGATTTGTAACCTGCTTTCCCTGATTTATTAGCATCAGTATAAAATGTACAGGCTTTGGTTATTGGAGCATCACGGACAATTCGAGGAAGGATCCAAGAAGTTCTCTTTATAAAATTAAGTCTCTTGCTTTTTGGGTAATTGTTATTGATTTCTCCCAAAAAATTAGCACAAGCTCTTTTCCATGGTTCATTGTCTTCCCACAACTTTTTTATCTCATCAGCAGTGAAAGGCACTATAATTTCTGCTGGGTCTATACCTGCTAATTGACAAAGTCTCAATTTTCCTTTTATAATCAATTCAGAGACTTTTTCCACATAAGTTTTTAATTTTTTACTTGGTTTGTGTGGCAAAAAGATCCATTCCAAGATAATATCATCTCTTTGCATCAAGATTCCTGTAGGAGAAATTCTGGAAGGCAATACAACGAGAATACAACTAAGCTTTGGATTTACCCTGTCCACATGAGCCTCCTGTAATTTTTCTTCAACTATTGTCAGTTCTTTTTCTGCTTCAGCTGTTAATTCTCTGGGACTGTTTAAGTCTGGCTTCTTGCTTGAATAGGCATTTGAAATGCCATAAAGGTCCATTCTCCAGGACAGTTGATGTGAGCTGGTTCCAATCTTGAGGGGTGGCCCCGCTGCTGAGAGCCCAGGATTTTAACATCTCTCTAACAAAGGATGAATGTAGTCCATAATTCACAATTGCTTGTTTAAATTCTTTCAGATCATTCATACGTGTAGGCTCCCATGTATGTTCTTTAATGACCTTAGGGTTTTTGGAGCCAGTTATCTTTTCTGATGTTATTACTGGAAAGGCAGGTATAACTCTGTGTAGACTCAGAGTTTTCAGAGGTAAATGTTGCCTTTCTACCTTTTGCTCCTGTTCATCAGAGTCTATGATTTCCTCAATCTTATTAAATCTGCTCACCATTACCTTCTGTAAGTCCTGAATCTCCTATCCAGTATTATGCTCCAAAGCCTTCATTAATGATTCTAAGGCATGGAGGTTGTCTGTCAGAGATACCATTTCCTCCCTGGACACTATCGCCTTCATTGATAATTCTAAGGCATGGAGCTTGTCCGTTAGAGATACCATATCCTCCTTGGACATAATCCTCATGGCATGTACTGTGCCTTCTTGTATGGAAATCCTGTCAATTAATCTTCATACCCTTTTGATAAAGTCCAATTTTCACATTCAATGGTTTTAATCCTCTCAGCTAATGTTTCAGCACTTACAGTCACAGACTGGAGGTTACGAGTCATTTTGGTTGTCCCCTCCTTGAGAACTCCAAACTCTGATCTAGTCTCCTCCTTGAAAACTCCAAACTCTTTTTTGAGGAGGTTGGTGTCAGTCTGAATTGTCCTTAAGGTTTTAATCTCTGCCCTCAGCATTGCAGATTCAATCTGGAAGGGCGGCATCGTCCTTATAAAATATCCAAACACCAGAAAAGCGACAAGTCCCAGAAATAACCAAGTAAGAGGAATATCAGAAACCTCATGGAGGATATCCTCCATGGCACAATTAAAAAGGCCATTGAACTTTTGGATAGTAATATTTTCTGACATGTTCAATCAAAAGAAATGTATTTATTTATTTGTTTTCAACCGAAAAGAAAAATCTTACCTGTAATGACCCTTGCCTGCCAGTAAGCGGTGGGGGCGCACCTGAATCCACGTGGCAATGGCGCCGACCCGGAAAGCAAATTCTAAAATATATACTCTCAAATCCAGAGGTTAAAATCACAGATCGAGCGCTGGGGGAAGACAGTGCCCAATGGGGGTAGCAAAAACCAAGGAAGTTAGTTGCGCGGCCCCACGAATGCGGCTAGGAGCTGGCTAGACCCCAGGTGTGGTGCGCGCTCAGGCTGCTAGGCCCACGCCACGAGGGGGAAAAAGGCCCACGTTCGGGCGCCAGATGATGCCGCAGGGCGATTGGTAATGAAAAGTCCCCAGACTATCTTGATACAAAATATACAGCTTTAATAAACAGAAGTAAGACTTACAACAGCTTACACCAGAATCCAAATGATTCATCTGGATGCAGGAGCCAGGTGAAAAAGAGCTAGTGGGAGCACGCTTGCTAGGTTTATAGGCAAGCTTTAGCCTAAGGGCTGCACGACCCCAAAACAGAATGTGATTGGCTGAACTCCCCATCACTGCCTCGTGGTTACTATCTTAATATGTAAGCTCTTAGCTATTGCTCTAATGTGGGATTCCCCTCTGTATGATGTGATTACTATTAATGAATAACAAAGAACTGTCTGGCCTGTGATAGGGCAAAAAAGTAGAGCTAGGTAGGGAAAACTAAGCTGAATGCTGGGAGAAAGGAGGAGTGGGAGAGAAGCCATGGAGCTGATGGAGACAGACGTGGTGAAACTTTGCTGGTAGGCCATGACCTCGTGATGATGCACAGATTAATGAAGATGGGTTAAATTAATATGTAAGAGTTAGCCAGTAAGAAGCTAGAGCTAATGGGCCAAGCAGTGATTTAAATAGGGTTTCTGTGTGATCATTTTTGGGGCTGAGCAGTAGGGAACCAACAAACGGCCTCCTCCAACATTGCTCCAGCATTATGTTTGCCTATTTGCTGCCATCCCACCATGATGGTTATGGAATAATCCTTTGAAACTGTAGGAATAAAGTATTCTGTAAGTTCCCTTGGTCATGGTGTCTCTTCACAGCAATAGAAAAGCAATGAAGACAGATTTAAATTGTTCTATAAGCTCTGAAAACTTTTTTTTTTCGAGACAGGGTTTCTCTGTATAGCCTTGGCTGTTCTAGAACTTTCTCTGTAGACCAGGCTGGCCTTGAACTCATAGAGATCTATCTGCCTCTGCTTGCCGAATGTTGGGATTAAAGGTGCACCACCACTACCCATTCTGAAAACTCTTACCTGTTTGGTTCACAGGCCTCTTTCTGACCTTGTTATTTAATTTTTTTAGAATTTTTCTTTAGTATTTCCAATTGTTTCTCGTATTTTGTTTATTGGCTGATTTTGTGTATGGGTGCACAAGTGTCACAATGTGCATGCTGCGGAGGTCAGAGGAAAATTTGGAGTTGGTGCTTTCCTTCTGCCACGTGAGTCCCAAGAACTGAGCTCAGATCATTAAGCTTGGCAGTGGGTCCCTTTACCCTTGAGCCATCCTGCTGGCTTCCTGCTTATGTACTGAAGAGCACCTTTGCTCAACAGTGTTTCTTGTCTTTCTACCTCTCTGCTATCTTTAAGAGTTTTTGGCCTCTGGAACTTTGCTTTTTCTTTGCAAGTTATTACCCAAGGTTCTGCCTTATGAATAGTGTCTATGTTAATGATCAGTTGGCTCCACACTGACAGAATAAAAGTTACCAACAGTAATATCAAATACTACAGCATTCTCTGCCACTTTTCTTGGAGAATAACAACCACACTGTTATCACAAGAAAACGTCATATTAATTTTTACTCTTGGTGACCAGAACTTACTAGTTGATTGACTATGTCAGGAACCTTAACTCCAACCTCAATGTGTAGACTTTGTCTTGTACATAAAGAGTTACAACAGCTTCTAAGCCGGGCAGTACCATAAAGACATGTTCTAGAAACAGTGCCTTGAAGACAGCTTGCAAGAAGGTATATGAGCTATAGGTTGTGGGGCTGCAGAGATGGCTCTGTGGTTATAAGTACTGGATACTCTTCTAAAGAACTTGGGTTCAGTTCCCAGAAACCACATGGTGGCTAACAGTCAGGAAATAATTGTTTGTAACTCTAAGTCTCAAAGATCTGACGCTGTTTTCTGGCCTGAATGAGCACTGCATGAAAAGTAAGGATAAAGGCACGTTTCAATCAGCTTTATTTATTTATTAAATGATGTGTGTGCATGTGTGCACATGATTGAATGCAGGGCAGAGTCCTGGAGCTGGAGTTACAGGATGCTGAGAATTGCCTGACATGGGTGCTGGGAGCTGAACTCTGCTTTTAACCACTAAGCCACCTGTTCAGCTCTTTCATTTTACCTTATACGAATGTGTTCCAGACATTAAAACCACATCAGTTGCATCTTACATATATTTTCCACAAGTGGTTCCAAGATTCTAAACTGAAAGAGTAAAAACATTTGGGGGGTCTTGGAGAGACAGCTCAGAGACTAAGAGCACGCATTGCTTAACTCAGCACCTACGTCAGACACAGTCACCTGCAACTGCAGCTCCAGGGGAGCTTCTGTTCCAAGGGCCCCTGCACTCATGTGGACATGCCAACCGACAGACAAATACACACACACATGCGTGCACACACACACAAAATAAATAAATAAATCTATGAAAATATTTAGGAAGTATATTGTTTGAAACATTCTATAATCTTAGAAAAACTGAGGGATAACACATATGTTAGGGGCAATTTGTTTGTGTCTAATTTAGTAACTAAACCAATTAACTGGCAACAAGTCTTAGTATAAAAGTCAGAGGAAGGAGATGACTTTCATAGTGGATGACCTCTTTCTTTCTATAATGACATCTTTCTTTCTACAGTGCTATCTTCATTATAGATATGAAAATAAAATGTGTATACTTATGGGTTTTTGAGCCCCTTGGACAAAAAAAGCTACAAAAAGCAAAAGTGAAGTAATTTCCTATAATTTTTCTGCTTACCCCATCTGCCACCATTTCTAATTAACAACCTTCCATGGACTTGAACTACCTTTCTCCACAAGTACCTCAGGCAGTTTTTGTAAGGCGAATTCTTGAGCTCCATTTAGGGCTGTGAGTCAGCATTTTACACAGGCATAAAACCAAAATGATTTAAAGTAAGTAATGTAATCTTTTTGAAAGACATGCGCATGTCCTTGAGGAGGTTTAAGAAAAAATTGGGGCTTCTAAGCTTATGAATAGTTTATCACATTTCAACAACTGCATTGTGGTGAATCAATAAAGCAGAAGTTAAGGATAATGAGCTCAAGTTACTGATTCTCAAGTTTCAAAATAGAACAGTACAGGAAAGCTATAAAAAGGGATTTCGGGCATGTGTGCAAGAGGAATTTAAAATGTCAGAATAGGCCAAGGGACGTCTAAGACACCAGGAAGAGTCCAGCGGCTTCCTCAGATATCTAAGTCTGGTCATTAGAAATATTTAATTTTCAATTTAAAAATAAAAATCTTAAAGCTTTTGATATTTATCTTTATTTTTGTTTATGTGTATGCTTGTGCACCTGAGAGCCCTCCGATCCCCCAGAGCTGCAGGTGCAGACCAGGACCCCTCATGCTGGGTGTGGAGTCCAGGGCCTCTAGGAGAGTGGCAGCCTCTTCACTATCGAGTCATCGCTATGCCACAGTTTCCAATCTTAAAAACGTATTTTAAAGTCAAGGTGGAGGGGTTTGCAAAAACCAGTGCTGCCTTTTACAAATGACTCATTTATTTTCCCAGTTTCTTTATTTTTTTGAGACAGGCTGTCCTTGACTGGCTAGGTAGACCAGGATGGCCTCCAAGTGACAGAAATCTGCCTGCTTCTGCCTCCTGAGCGTTGGGATGGGATTAAAGGAATGGGCTGCTATGTCCACCTTGGATCCAGGATTTTCTTGCCTAAACATGTTGCAGATCTGTGCCTTCAAGACGAAGGGGACAAAACAGTCTGGTCCTATTATACCAGGAAGCAGTTGTGGAAAGAATCTTTCAAAACTCAATTAGGTGCGTGTATGGTCCATTGGTGTCCAGCTTTAACACTTGTCTGTTCCCGTAAGTGCCGTGCGCCACTGCAACCCCCGCTTCGGCACACTTGCTGTTGGCGGCCAAGGCTTTCTCACACAGACTCACGAACTGGGAATATAGTTCCAGGCCTTCCTCCTTCCCGGAGTTAGCGTGATACTGCATGTTTTTTCCTTTCACCCTGCCCCCGAGGGTGGCTTGAGGGATGATGAGAACGTCGCCGGGCAGATCCAGGATAGAGACATGCTTGCCGTTTTCTGTTTCACTTAATTTCACATTTAACAGCGTATTAACTGGGCAGGAAAGAAGGTAAAACATTTGAAGTGAAAAACAAACATGAAGAAAATCACCAATCTTTTACTTGGTTACCAAGTTTCATATTTAAAACCTAGTTTTAAAACCCAGTCTCTATAGGTTTAAAAGGGCTACACTAAATGGCACAGCCCTAGCGTGCATACATACACCCCAGAAAATTCTGAATTTCATACAAAAAAATACCAAGGTGCTTCAAATCTGACCCAACAATCAAGCTATCTCACACAGTTCATCCACGAAGGTCTACTGTACACTAGAACCTCGAGTAATGCTGTCTCTGGGGAACACGTCAATGTTTGTTTCTCTGATCCTTTTGTTTTATAAGCAAATACCCACTGGTTCAATTTCATTATAAACTAGATGATTTCACAATTTAAGGCAATATTAACAAGGACTAACATTTTATAAATAAGGCCTATTAGGGAAATGCAAATGCAAATTCATTATTACAAATGAAAAAGTAAACAAAAATACAGAGCTACTGGCAGCATAAATGTGTATGTGTATCTGGATGTGTATATGTATACAAGGGAGGCTGGAAAAAAGACTCGGTTGTTAAAAGCTCCGACTATTCTCCCAGAGGGCTGAGATTTGGTTCCCAGCATCTACATGGCAGCGAACAACTGTCCCTGACTCCAGTATCCAATGCACTATTCTGGTCTCTGCAGGCAATGCACACATGTGATACACAGATATACATGCAGGCTATTACACAGAGAAACCCTGTCTCGAAAGTCAAAAAAAAAAAAAAAAAAGAGAACAGAACAAGTAGTAAAGCAATTCTGAAAGCCTCACACTCCTGTCCTCAAACCAGGCTCTGAAAGGCATACTTTCAGCATCAGGCACGGCGGTAGGGCCTGCCTTTCACCTCAGGCAGACCAATCTCTGAGCTCCAGCCCAGCCTGGGATACAGAGACTTATTTAAGGCATGTTTTCTGGTCTGGTTGATTTCACCTCTACACACTCTGTAGCCACCATCAGTAAGGACTTGGTTATGATCCTACTCTACAAATCACGGTAAAACCAGTCAATTCCTAACTTCTGCTGCAAGTCCTACCACTTCTCAATTAGCTAACATCTCTCTTTAAACACCTTTGTATTCTTTGTGTGGAAGGTCTCTGCCTTACAGCCAGCGGCCCTGCTGACTACATCTCAGGAGAACAGGAACTCCCAGAACACGTCACTGCAACCAACATTACTACTTAGGCCAGCCAGGCCTCAGGCTTTGGCAGACTGAGTCAACAAGTCTGGGTTAACAGGCAGTGAGCAGCAATATCATTTTTTATTATACTTTCACACACCTCCCTCTACTGGCTGTAACTGAGAACTCACATGTCTGTATGTACAAATAAATACAGCACAAAGACACACAGAAATGAGACAATATTAATAGTATGTTAGAAACTTTAAGGATATAAGATGGGTTATTAGATTCCCCAGTGACACAGAGAGGAAATCAAGCTTTGACAGATCCCCAACCTACTTTTTTACAGAAGATGAACTGAGAAAGGGTCTATACACTTCTATGTTAGCTATGGACATAACCAGTTATGTCCATGAAAGTCTGATCCATGAGTAAGTATGAGGTGGACTTTAAGAGAACCTCATCACACCAGCTAACTTATGGACTAGAGAGATGTACAAACTAATTGCTCAATATACGTTGGTTTGTTAAACAATTTACTAAAAGACTTAAAGGTGTCCTCTTTGTTTTCAAAAGCCTTACACATGTGTTTAGAGGGAACTCAAAGACAAAGATAGAAACCTAGCTTTAGTCACCATAAAACAATGCAGCTTGGGTTTGGTGGGCTTACTTTACCTCATTATGATTAAGACATCATAAGACAACTTTGCAAAGTCAATCGTTTTGTTTGTTTTGTTTCTTCAAGTCAGGATTTCTCTGTGTAACAGTCCTGGCTGTCCTGGGACTCCCACTGCAGACCAGGCTGGCCTCAAACCCAGAGATCCACCAGTGCTGGGATTAAAGGAGTGTACTACCACTGCCTGGGTACAAATGACCAGCATTTTATTTTTGTATTTGAAGCATCTTACTGCATTCCTTTGGCCAACGAAGACGACCAAGGTAAAATACCAGTTTTAGGCAAGCGAGTAGAATGCTCGACACCTCCACGTCAGGACCTGAGAAATTACTTCTGCACAGGAGCTTCATCTGCTTCTCTGAAGTCATCAAAGGCTCCTTACCCCCAGATCCAGATTTCAGACTATTAGTTACTCCCTTCCAGCCCCATCTGTTTTCATGCCTTGACAAAGTTGCCAAGCAAATTTGATATAGCAGTGTAAAGTTTCCTTAGTTTGACTTTTTGGCTAAGGTGTTGTCAACAGGATATCTGCCCACGAGTTCCATTTTCAGTATTCTGATCTTGTCTAGATTAACTTCTGTAAACTTTAACTATCTTTTATATTGTTTTTCCTTTGGTGACATGGCCAGCTCTCTTGTTCAGGCTGTCCTCCAACCCCAGGATCAAGGGATCCTCCGGTCTCAGCCCTCTGTACCTCTGCGCTGTACCTCTGAGCACATGCTACTGTGCTCAGCTTAAATTACTAATTACTGACTAATATGTGCCATATTTTACCAATAAGGAGCATATAAACTATCCCCAATCTTAGGAATAGTTCCATTATTTCAGGTTTTATTCTGAGTATAACTTTTGAACCAAATACTGCCTTGTAACAGCGTGTGACATGCTCCAGTCCATCTGAACCCGTGGAGTTATCTATCACAAGGAACATCAGGGTATGGAGTGTACAGGATTCTGGAAAGCTGCAGCAGCCAAGTCAATGCTTTGTGATCCCTGAGCATTTACTCTGTTTTCTCTACCCTCAGAGGAAGTGTGGCTGTGATGACACTAAGTTTGGTTCAAGAACCAGGAGAACTATATTTATATATTGACACAAAAGCCTACATAAATGGTTGCCGTAACTTCTCCTACATCAATGACATAAGGTTGAGTTGTCTGGATTTGACTGGACACACACGTTGTACATACACTGTCACCTACTGCCCCTATTAGGGATGCTCTTATCTGATGGGGAGAGAAACGGGGCCATGGGGAATGAGGGGGACAAGAAAGGGTACCGGGAAGTAAATAAGCTCAAAATACATGATACACATCTACAGAACCTGTCATTCTGTAAGGTAAATATTAACACATACACACAGTTGTGGGGCGTGGTAAAGAAAGCAACACAGCATTTGCTTGAACTCTGTGGCAATCCTGCTCGCAGAACCTTCCGTGCTCTGGGCAGAAGCATGTTCTGCATACAGGGTTATGTGTCTATCTTCTAAATCAGTCTACAACCACCTGCAATACTGTGATATTTTCAAAGAGTTCCACCATGTGTACACGGACATTCTTTAAATTTTACAATAAGCAATATAATTAATACACCAGCACAATTTAGGACCATGCCTCTTGGGGGCTGCAGAGATGGCTCAGTAGTTATGAGCACCTGCTGCTCTTCCAGGGAACCCGGGTTCCAGTCCCAGCAGCCACATGCAGCTCGCAATCCCCTGTTATGCGGGTTCCAGGGGATCTGATGCCCTCTTCTGGCCTCTGAGGGCATCATGCATGTATGTGGTAGATATACATGCAGGCAAAACAGCAATACATATTTAAAAAAGAAGAGAAAGAACCAACCACCCACCCACCCCATGCTCCTGGAGCGGGGCCTGCAATTACCCCAGAGGCGTGGCAGACAGACTGCACATTCGATGCCCTCCTGGGACCTGGGATGCAGAAGGAACTGAAGGTCGGCTGGGTAAATTGTCAAGACCTCGATTTAAGATTTTTAAGAAAAAAAAAAAAACTAGTTTACAAAAAATTAGGTCTCATTATGGCATTTTTTTTTAAAATTCAAAATGTTCTTGTTTGGATGTTAATTGCTAAAAAGGCCTTCGTGCAGTGGTAGAACAGGTTCCACGTTCTTAACATGCTCTAGGCCCTGACTGCAATCCCGAGCACTACTGCAAAACAAACCAAAAAAGTTAAAATAAGGTAAGTTATGCTTCTCAGCTGAGGTTATAGGTCAGCGGCAGAGCACTTGCTTGGAGGGTACACATCCGAGGCTCAACCCCAAGCCCCTCAAACCAAAACAAAGTCCCACCAAAGCCAGCACAGTGGCGTTCAATTTTGCTCATACGCTCACTGACGACCTCATCTTCGCACCTTTATTTGTCCTACATCATAAGGAATATGAACCCGACACCCCACACCCCCTTAACGGGAGAAGAGAGAAAACACATACCCATCTTGGGAAGAAGCTCTTTTTCCGCCCCCTTGAAGAAGCACACATAGATCACCAGGCCTCTCTGGATCTGTGAGGAATCACCACAAGAATCTACATTAGGCAGGCGGCTACAGAGAAACGGTGAAGGGGGACATTTCACAGTGTTTCCAAGCGTGGGGGGTTAAAAGCCAAGAGAGAAAAATAAAAATCATTTTGAATTCTAAATAAATTATGGGAAACCAAAGTCTTTCTTGAGTTTTAATCACCATGATTATTTTTTTTGGCGGAGCTTTCAGCTGGCCCCCTCCACACCAGGCGAGGCTGACAAGAACAGTCTGCTTGCGGGCTGACCTATCCAACACCAAGTGCGTTTCGCTTGTACCACACAGGGCTGGTGACTACGGGCAGGCTCACGGATGTCTTTTGATGCCCCTCTTTATTTTCCCCTTTAAATAAGTCGTTTATTTAAAGAGAGCAGTATTCCAGATTTCTACAAACTCCAGGAGACTGCTTTTTCTGTCACTGTGGCCAGCGCCTTCAGTAAATCCAATGATTAGGCCTTGAAAATTACATTTGTGCCAATAATTTTATATGAAAAGGTCGGTTGTCATCAGGAATATACACTTATTCATTGTGTGTAATGACTTGGGTATTTTTTACTAGTTTCTGTAAGACAGACTACAAGAAAATAAAAGCGGCGCTAAGTGACTTTGACGCTACGGTTGACGGAATCGCTGGGGCTGTGATTCCATGTTAATCTGTGTGACTCCAGGTACCTCACTTGATTCAGGAGCAGCCACAAAGATGAAAAGAGTTAATAATTGCACACTACTTACACAGTGCTGAGTTCACAGTAAGGATGACACAGGTGTTTATCAAATGTTATATAAAAATAAATTTAAAGGCAGAGGCACAGTTTATTTCACATTTTAGCTGCCAAAGCATTTTGCATGCTTCATACACGATTGGGATCCAATTTAAGAGCTACTGGCATTAACATTTAACTATATCTTTCTGGCTCTGTTGACCTGAATGGTTTTCTGTGTAAATATAGCTCTGCATTCATACTTGAATTACCCGGGAAAATATTTTACTTTAATTCTGTGTGTGCAGGTGTATGTGTGTGTCTGTGTACAGTGGCAGATGCCTGTCAAGTCTAGAGGGGACCATCAGATCCCATGGGGCTGGAGTTACAGGTCGCAGTGAGCCAGCATGTGTGTGAGAACTGAACTCTGGTCCTATTCAAGAGCAGCACTTGTTCTCAACTGAAGAGCCATTTCCACAGCCCAGCAGGCATTTTTTAAAAAGGACAATTGTACTTCTGGAGCAATAGGTGAGACCCTCCAGTCACATCTATGGCTATGGGGCTGGCAAGGGCAACACAGGTATCTATATCAGAAGTCTCTCCACCAACAGAATCTTGAGCCCAAGTCTTCCGCACAGTCACATCTGGTACCTGGATGCCGGAATCAAGTACCTAGTTATGACCAGAAACACCTGCTTCCCGATCACAGCAATCACTACCTCCGTGTGTTATTTTCTTTGAATTTCAATACTAGATCTTAATTTGCGACCTAAAAATCCTTCTCTTCAAGTAAAAAAAAAAAATGATTTCCCCTGAAGTTTCTTTGGTATACATTACAATACACTGGAAAGTAGGTAATTCCCACTGTGGCTTTAAAACGTTCAATTCCCAGGGAGGAAAACACTCTCTGGGACAGACAAGTCTACACGAATAAAACTAAGTCTAGGTAACTTTTCAAACAAAATGCTATTTTAAAAAAATTCACTTGCTAATAGACCAGAGTCCAGGAAGACTAGCTACTGCTCAGCTCTCTGATGTGTGGGAGGGGAGGAAAAGCCTTTGAAACACCTTTTAAATTTTAAAAACACAAAAGGACAGTTTGGAAGGCTGCAATAAAATGCGATTCTGCCTCAGGAAATGTGGGGAAAACAAAAATGACAAAGAATGGACTCTAAATGACTGAATTTGGAATTTATCACACCAAACGGCAACAATTAAAACAGGTATTTTTTTTTAGATATGAATACATTTTCAAAACCTCAAGGAAAAGCCCGAACACAAATGCGGAAGAAAAAGAATTTGAGAAAAGGGAGATAGCGAAGATACTGGAAGATTGAATGATTTATTATTCATTTACTTAAAGGAGGCTTTTCTCCGCGTAGTCCTGGCTGGCTGGAAAGTCGGTACGAAGACCTGGATGGCTTTGAACTACCTCTGCCTCTTGAGTGCGGGGATTAAAGACAATGCTGCCACCACACCCGGTGATATTAGAGATTTTAATGCTTGGTTTAAGGTCACCCACATACACTTGGTTTAAGTTCACGATGACAGATCTATGTTAAAGAATGCTCGATATGAAGTCTAATTTAGTGGAGATGAATGAGATTCTCTAAAAATTCTGAGTCCAGTTCGGCGAGGCGGCTTACGCTGTGACCCCCAACACTTAAGATAGATATAAGGCAGAAGGAACATCCTCAGGTGGGGAGGCTAGAGCGCCAGTGGAGCACAGGCCACCAGGAGCCACTCCAAAGTGACAACTAGGCCGCCCACTAGGGTGAGCAGACGGAAAGGGACACTCTTTCTCCCACGAGAGCTGAGAGAAAGACCAGCACCACAGTGAGGGGAGGGCCGGGCATTACCTCCACCCACTGCGCCGCGGCGTCCCCGTCGGCCGGGCGCACTTGTAGATGCGCGTGCAGGCACTGCTGCAGGAGCGCACGGGCATGCACAGTACTGCTGCCGTCCGCCATGGCTCGGCTCCGCACTGCGCATGCTCAGCGCAGGCTCTGCCCGTCACTCGTGGCTCCGCCCCAGGAGGGCGGGGCCTCTGCCGGGCACTAGCATGTCCCGGCTGTGCAGTTGATCCACAGCGGGTCCCTAACCGGAATTCCCCTGATAAGCGAAAGGGGTTGTGTTTAGAAAGACTTTTTTTTTTTTTTTTTTTTTTTTTTTCTTAATCGCGTCCTAGGATATCTTGATTTTGGTTTGTTTTTGGGGGTAGAGTCTCCTGGAGCTGAGGTTGGTAAGGGTAGCCCGTAGCTTACCTTGAACTCCTGACTCCTCCGAATTGCTGGGATTACAGGTGTGCACTCCTCCCCCACTCCCTTGGACTCAGGTTCAAATGTTTTGAAGAAACATTTTTCACTTGAGAAAGCTTAGGTTTCTAGATGTTGAGAAGATGTATGTCAGAGTTAAGTTCATTCTGTGCTCATTATAAAGACAACGAGTGAAATCAGCGACAGAATTAAAGCCTTTCACAGTGGTCACCTAAGACTATTAGAAAGCAGAAATTCACATTATGATTCATAACAGTAACTACATTACAGTTAGGAAGTAGCAACGAAAATAATTTTAGGATTGGTGCCTCCACAACACAAAGAACAGTGTTAAACGGTCGCATCATTAGGAAGGTTGAAAATTATTTAACTAGAGCTAGAAATCTCTCAAAAATATGCCTTGCCCATTCAATAAAGCAGTGCTGTCTCCTGTATCAGAAATGCTACAAAACATTCTGATTCCATAGTTGCAGAAGGGTGTTAACAAGCTATGGGAATGCACTTTTGGAGACCAATTCTTCATTATTTCTTAAATTTTCATTTATTTTTATACATTTTAATTAAAATATAATTACATCATTTTTCTCCCCCAATCCCTCCTGAGTCTGCTCCCTCCATCTCCTTCTGCTTCCTCCCACTTACACTAATAGCCTCTTTTTTTCAGCCGTTGTAGTCACATATATATGTATGCACAAATATACGAATACTGCCTGCTGAGTCTGTTCTCGTCTTGCGAATACGGTTTCAGAACTGATCCCTTTGTATTGGGTGACCAGTTAGGGGGCTCATTCCTAGGAGATGTTAATTCTCTCTCTGTAGTCATTAGCTCTCTGTAGTTCTTGACCTAGGGGTGGAGTCTGCTAAAATGTCAAGTAGCCTTTGTTCAGGCTTCACTTATGCAGTTATTTCTATAAAAGGGTGTCTCACAGAAGACATCCGGGTATTCTGACTCCTGCAATCTTTCTGCTCCCTCTTCTAAAAAGTTCCTGGAGCTAAAGATGCAGAGGCATCTATGATATAGATACGATGTGATGTAGATGTAGCCATTGAGCTTCCCACAATCCTTTGGTGCCTGCACTGTGCCCAGTTGTGGCTTTCTGTGTCGGTTCCCATTTGCTGTAAAGAGAGGCTTCTACAATGAGCGGTAATAGTCACACATACCTGTAAGTATAGAGATAAGGTTTGCAATCATGTTGCTCTGGCAAAGTGGTGTGTAGTAGGCTCTCTTCTAAGACCTATGACCTTAGACCTCACTACTCCCGGAGAAGCTGGCTAGGTTCTAAGTACCAGGAATTATTTCCTTCTTGTTGAGTGGATCTGAAGTTCAATTAGACAGCTGTTGATTACGACAGACTTGGGAGTGCCATTTATTGCACCTTTGTGCATATCCTGCTGTTCTGGTCATGGTGGTCACAGGTGTCACTGCTGGGTTGGACTGTTAATTGTCCCCCACCCCCTCTTTGGCAGCTTGCATAGGATTTTCTAGTAGTACGGAAGTAAGACCATAGAAAGGAGGCTTTCATGTTAGATACGGCTTGAAAAGTCTGAGTCTTGTATCTTAAGTGTACAGTGTCTTCAGCATTAGGGACTTACCTTCAGCCTTTGAGAGGTATCTATGGCCACAATAGTTTATGTTGTTTTGGAATTTCTTGGACTACTCTGATCTTATTATTTTGCATTTGCCTAAAATTATACACAATACATATAAGTGCATACTTGTACTTTAGTGAATACCACAGACTCATTAAACCCTCAGTACCAGGCATGAGGAATCTCTTTTTGGATGGAGGAGAGCAATTCTTTAGAAACTATCCTTGGTAAGAATATTCTCGGAGGTGATTGTTCACCAGTTACTGAACTTGATCCTCACACAATCCTACAACAGATTCTGATGCAGACAATTCTGGCTGTGCACAATGACATCAGATTCTGTGATCCATTTTCTTTAAGCACTTATTAGAATGTAAATAAAAGTAAACAGGTCTTGGTTTTCTTTCCCACGAAATCTATTCCTCGAATGTGCATAGGATTAGCATTTGTTTTTCACAGACGTGGAGGGTTTAGCAGGGGGAAATAATAGTGTTACCCTGATTGCATTACTCAGGTCATTGATTTGGGCTCAGTTGGCACAATATATTCATGCCTGTTGTTTTAGAAGATGACGTCACTGGCAGTGTCGCTGCCCATACAAAGTGGTGTGACTGGAGAAAGTAATCCATGCATAATCAGTGGTCTTTTGTACACAAACTGAAGCCGCCTGTTGGCTGGTTATCTTGCAGCCTCCCTTACACTTTTATTAAAAAGAAAATGGGGAAAAAACCCTCACATTATCTCTAATGGCGGGGCCACAGGGGCTGCCACGTTGGGTGCCACTTGTTTGTGTAACGTTCACAAGTTGAAGTGCTTGTGCCTGCACCTGTATGTCACTGTTGCTATGGACTGTGTATTCTGTCATTCGGACTCCATTTTTAAAAAATCAAAAGGAACATTGCTATAGCGACCCAAGCTGTGATCCGGGCTAAGTGAAGACCTGGGTGTCCGTTTGTGTGTGAGTGTAGGAGACATAGAGAACTATTGCCAACAGCGTGTGTGGTTCCCAGGCGTTTTTGCACAACAAGGAACAATAGGAATCCATTTCTGTGGATAGTTTTTGTTTGTTAATGGTTGGTGTCTCAAAAAAAAATCACCAATTATTTTTAAGTTTCCCATTGGTTGAGGCTCTCTTGGGCTGAGAATGTTAGTAAACATCTATCCTTGTATTCTTTCCTCCTGCCTGCAGAGGGCAGTAAAGAGTAGGCAGTAAAGAAAAGCATTTTCTCTGGGTTTTATTTTATGAAAACTGTTCTCACAAAGAACTCATGAAAGTAGGATGTGCGTGCAATAGGAGAGTAAAATGTGAACAAAGCGAAAAAGTACGAGTTGAGAAAATTAAATTACACAAGTAAATCCACAGTAGAGTACATTTGGTAGTTTTTGACCGGAATTCTGATACCGCATGTAGCAATGTTTTAAGTTTTTTATTTGTTTGTTTTGTTTTTTGAGACAGGGTTTCTCTGTGTAGCTTTGGAACCTGCCCTGGAACTCACGCTCTAGACTAGGCTGGTCTCGAACTCACAGAGATCTGCCTGCCTCTGCCTCGGGTTCTGAGGCCATATGCCACGCAGATAGGGGTGGCCTGTGCTGACATGGGCCAAGGTTGGCGGGGACTATGTCGGGTCTGTGACTCTACCGCAGTCAGGGTCTCTGACTCCTGCTGCCATTGGGGGGCCACAGGATTACTGGGGTTCTCTACTACCACCGTTTTGGAATCCAAGGACCATGCTGCTGCTGGGCCCGTGCTGATTGGAGAGGCATAGGTTGCCACCCAAGTCCACGGAGACATCCGGGGCCAAATTGACACTGCTGGCCATGTGTGTGTCCGTAGTCCTGTCGCAGCTGGGGTCTGTGTTGATGTCTGTTGCCCATGTTACTCCAGGAGCCCATGCAAACCATGAGTTGAAGTACAAGGGCCTCTCTGAGCTGGCCCCACTCCTCACTGGCCTGAGGAGCGCTGTCTGCTGGCCGGGGGGGGGGGGCCCCCCCACCAGCGAGCTGATCCTGTCACTTACCCGTGGGGAGTGGTTCCAGCAGCCCAGACTTATCAACTCAACTATACATACAAGGTTTTGACCTGGCACACGCCAACAACCACCCCATCTATGACCTGCTGGAGTGCATGAAGGGACTGGTTCTATAAGCCATAGTCTACATGACTTGGGGCAACGGCGGGATATCAGCGGAGTTTCTGTGTGGGTGCAGTATCGAAGGTGTGCCCGAGGCCAGAGGCCTTACACACTGCCCCTTTGCAAGGAAAGCTGAACTAAAGATTATACTGCGTGATACACTGCAGCTTTCAGTGCCACTAAGACCGGGGAGGACGCTACTGAGAGGCAAAGGCAGAAAGAACTGTTTTTGCTTTTCTTTTGTTTGCTTGTTTGTTTTTTGTTTTTAAATTGATATTGTTACGTCGTGACCTGAGAAGGAGAGGGTGGACTGAGGAAAGAAATAGACAAGAGACAGAAGATAGAGTTAGGAAGGGCTTCCAGGGAATACTGTGACAAAGAGCCCAGAGTTTCTTACTCTCAGCCTTTATACCCCAATCAAAAGAGGAGGGCACAAGGCTTCCGTGACACAAAGAACAAGCAAGCCTAATTACCTCCTTATACACCTCAAAACACCTGGTAACCACAACCTAAGTCAAACAACCTGTTGTCTGGCCTTTGAGGAGCAAAGCGTCCAGTAGCCCCACCTTTGGTCAAACATCCCATTGTCCGTCTTTGAGGAGCAAAACTAGGTTTGAACTCTCTGACCTTTAGTCAAGATGGAGTGGATCCAAAACTGTGGGACCCTACGTTCTTATTTGAATGTAGTTTTTATTATTACTTTTACTTCTTTTTAAAATCTTTACCTTATTTTCATTATTTGTTAGTTTTCCTTTTGGGGGGATACTACAAGGGTGGGGGTGGATTCATAGGACTGGGAGATGGGTGGGATTGGGGTGCATGATGTGAAATTCCGAAAGTATCAATAAAATATTAATAAAAATGACAATTGACAGTTTCTGTCAATTATGTATCACATCAAGATGCTTTATAAAGTCTGATTGAACTTCGGGAGATGATTACTAAACCGTTGGAACATAGTTGTCCACCAGGGCACTTGAAAGTGAGCTGTGAA